CTCAAAACCTCATTTAAAAAAAATAAAACAAAAAACATTCTTTTAATTTACTACTTGATCATCTATGCTTTTGTTTATCCGTCTGTTTTTTTGTCTGTTTGTGTCCAACTAACGTCAAAACGGCTGAACCGATCGGGCCCAAATTTTGTGTGGGACCTCACATGACTCCAGGGAAGGTTTATAAAACATCAAGATTGGGCAAAAAATTGCTAGAAAATAGTCGGAATTTATTTTTTTGAAAATGAGCCAATTGGAAAAGAAAAATCTGGCAAAATTTTACCGTGATTTAAAATGGCCGACCTTCCAAAGCTAAAATTATTTACAGACCTTAAAAGCCTAGAATCTAATATTAGAATTATTAATATGTATATATCTAATTATAAGATTACAGATACAGATATCTCACATATAATTAGATAAATTGAATATTAATTAATTTGAGGAAAATTAAACAAAAATTGATCTAAATGTTGTCAACGGTTCACATGGAATTTAACCTGCGTTAAATTATACCATTTGTCTTTAATTACAGTAAATGAATGTATTCAGGGAATTGTAAAGAAACTGCCGTAAACTATATATGTACTGCAATTTCTGGGAGGATTGAAAACAAAGCTTAGAAACTGCAGTACATTATTTTATTTGAGTTCCTGTTATATCTATATATCTTTACATCTAACTATGTATCTATCTATATGTCTATCTATCTATCTATCTATCTATCTATCTATCTATCTATCTATCTGTCTATCTATCTATATATCTATCTTTCTTTCTATCTATCTATCTATCTATCTATCTATCTATCTATCTATCTATCCATCTAGATCTATCAACACATATAGCCAGTAGCAAGGATAAACCCAAATACATGGTTGGATAGACAGATACATCAACTAGTCAATTTATATACAATATACGCTGATTAAGATGTCAAAACAGGATTTTCGAAATTCATAAATCAGAAAATGTAACAAAAATTCTTCTATAAACCAAGAAAGTATCGATGAAATCAACGTTGAATCGAAATTATTTCTCTAGCATTATTATTTTTATTATTTTATAAAAATTACCTATTTATCCAAATATCTTTTCACCACCTATTTCTATCCATGAGACATGATTTATGATAATTTGTTCTCGTGCTTGATATTTTATGTATATATAGATATTTCTATATTTATCTATCTATCTATCTATAGAAATCTCTAGATATATCTATCAATCTACAGAAATCTCTATATGTATCTATCTATCTATCTATAGAAATCTCTAGATCTATCTATCAGCGTTACATCTCTAGGTCTATCATCTTTCCATCTATCTTACTATAGAAATCTCTAGATGTATCTATACATCTATCTATAGAAATCTCTAGATGCATATTATCTCTAGACATAACTATCTATTTATCAGAGTACATCTCTCGGTCAAACATAAACCTTGAGAAACAACGCAACCGTTAAATAATCAAGACAGGGAGATTCCAAATCCATGGTTGAGTTAAAGTCGTCCTCAATTTACGCAGCACTTAAAATATATCTTAAACTTATTTACAAGTGTTTGTAAAAACCTTATTTTAAATTCTGAATTTCTGAAATCCCTGATTCCTGAGAAAGATAAAAAATTGTATATATGTATATATATATATATTTATAAATGCAGAAAATATACATATTCAAGGTTTTTTACACTTAGCCAGGGGCACTAAGCGTGCCCATGATTTCCTAGATATTCAAATATTTATTATTTATGCAATACAACATATAATTAATGATATTTCACTCCTCTTCAACGTAAATATACAATTTGAATGTATTTTCATTTCAAAATGTTAAAATCTTAAAATCGGCCTATTAGTCTTTCAATCGTACACTGTCATGTTTGTGGGACACCCTGTAGCTGACCAAATAACTATACTAATCATGACTAAGCAATTAATTAACAAGTATACTCATGTATTTTCTTAATTGTCAACGTATATCCTTAAGATATTATGAAAATTAATTACTCTGTTTTTTTTACTTTAACGCCAAAAAAGATTTTTTAACGAGTTTATTTTTCATAACAATTTTAGCCTTTGGAAGGTTTTTCAAAAATGTTCTTGTTGACAAAGATCTTTAGTTCTTTAAAAATGTTCAATTAAATATTTGTTCAAATATGTACTTTCCAATTCTTATATGTTTATTTTTAAACTTTAAGTTTTCAAGTCTTTTATAGGTATTTTAATGAGAATCTTCTCTTTCCAATTAAAAATTTTTGTTTGTTATTTAATTTTACCAGCGCTTGGTAGTAAATTACGATTTTTAGATAATTTCCCTTTAAAAACTTTAAAAAGTGAACTAATTCAACTTAGAATCTTGTAGTCCTACTGTAGTCCTACTGTAGTCCTTCTGTAGTCCTACTGTAGTCCTACTGTAGTCCTACTGTAGTCCTACTGTAGTCCTACTGTAGTCCTAATGTAGTCCTACTGTAGTCCTACTGTAGTCCTACTGACCCAATTTAAAGGAACTGATTCTTTGCTAATCCCTATATCTTAGCAAGCCGATGGTGTAAACCTTTTATATTAAAGACTTTAATCATTTGATCCATCAGAATTCATAGTTTGAAACATTAAAGGTCTACGACATTTTGTTGGAAAGATATAGGGATTAGAAAATCAGAGTTTGTGGCAAAGACTCAATTCCTTTAATGCAAATCGTTATGATCGGACAAACAAACAAACAAACAGAGTTTTTAACTTCACATTTTTACTAAAAAAAGAATTATTCTAGATACGCGTAGACATCAATACAGCTGCAAAGTAACCGGTTAAATATGTATGTACTATGTAGCTGCTTAGAATACTATTAAAATATTTAAACAAATATGAAGTAAACGTTAGTTTGAATGTTAACACTTTTGAAATGTACTTTGAGCTTTTGGGAATTGCTCATTAAAGGGCCTGCACGCGCATGCATGATGGATCACTTGAAATTACACTTACAGTCCCTTTAAAAAGTCACGAAGTAAAAATTGTATAAATGATTGTTCCTAAACCCCCTTTTTGAATATTGTGCACACTCCCTTAGGACAAAAATCAAAAGATCTGACATCTGGTTGATCAATGACGTTATAGAAAAGCTGCGGAAGGATGCGTTAATGAAGAACTAGAGAATGACAGGAGAAAATAAACGTTCACGGCTCTTTAAAAGGATTATAGTGACCATTCATCGATTTAAGAATCCAACCTTTTTCTGATTTATAATGTAGGAGGTTTGGCTATTTTACTGGCTTGGAAACTGAAATTCTGAAATAGTTCCCCTTTGTTTTTGAAGCAGAAATGCACAAGTAACCCGCATTAAAAATAATTTATTTTCAACGAGAAGATTATGGATTTCTCCTGCATTTTTGAACAATCAAAGCTTTGATGGGTACTGTTGCCAATCAGACATCTGACTCTATAAAAATATTAAATTATGTCTACGGTCTCATAAAGATAGCAGAATTGGCAATTATATCAATCAGAAGAAAAAATGTAACATAAATCAAATCCACACACTATCAAACATATTTTCATATAGGCGAATCCTTGATATATATGTAATGTAATGAGTAAAAATCAATGTTGTCTATTTGTGCATAATTTTGCATATTTTTCTCTTTTCTTTAGGAAACCTGTATTTTCAAAAATTTATTTAAACAAATTTATACTACACCATTTAGATATGTATTTATATCTTAAAATCTTTATAATAATAATATGAAATAAACCATACTCTGGACAGATTCTTGTATATGGCCCTAAGTTGTAGGACCCCCCCAAATATTTGAACAGGAGAACTATTGATTATATCTGTTGTTAAAAAACAATTAAACATCTGGACTCCTTCTTGACCTTCTTAGCTTTGTTTAGCTCGATGATGGGCTTCTTGTCATCCCTTGGACAAGCAAAACTAAATATCATATTTTAGATCAATAATATACCTTGTGGACTTTCTAGTTCTGAAGTCTTACATGTAGTCAATATAGTTCAATAGCCCTACATGTAGTCCTATAGTCTTATTGCCTTACATGTAGTCAATATAGTTCAATAGCCCTACATGAAGTCCTATAGTCTTATTGCCTTACATGTAGTCAATATAGTTCAATAGCCCTACATGTAGTCCTATAGTCCTATTGCCCTTCATGTAGTCCTATAGTCCTATAGCCCTACATGTAGTCATATAGTCCTGTGGCCCTACATGTAGTTGTATAGTCCTATAGCCCTACATGTAGTTCTATAGTCCTATAGCCCTACATGTAGTCAATATAGTTCAATAGCCCTACATGTAGTCATATAGTCCTATTGCCCTACATGTAGTCCTATAGTCCTATAGCCCTACATGTAGTCATATAGTCCTATGGCCCTACATGTAGTTCTATAGTCCTATGGCCCAACATGTAGTTCTATAGTCCTATGGCCCTACATGGAGTCAATAGTCAATTATTTGCATTTTTGAAATCTTAACAGTTCTAGGGTTATATTTTGATAACATTTATGGCAGATTTACAATAAAATTTTTTGCAGATTTTTATATTGCTCATTTAATTTTAATAAGATTTTATGAAAAATGAAAAATGGAAAAGAAGATGGGCGCGAAGCGCTCTAAACGCCTAGATTAGTCCTATAGTCCTGTAGTTCTTCAGTCCAGTAGTTCATAGCTCCTGTAGTCATGTAGTCCTTCATTACTTAGTAGTCCTGTAGTCCTTCATTACTCAGTAGTCTTGTAGTCTTTCATTACTCAGTATTTCTGTAGTCCTTCATTACTCAGTAGTCATGTAGTTCTTCATTACTCACTAATCATATAGTTCTTCATTGCTCAGCAGTCATGTAGCCCTTCATTACTCAATAGCCTTTTAGTCCTTCGTTACTCACTAGTCATATAGTTCTTCATTACTCAGTAGTTCTGTAGTCCTATAGTCCTCTAGTTCTTCATTACTCAGTAGTCCTATAGCTATATAAAAAAACAAAATTATAGAATTATAAATAAGTATTTATTAAATAAAATGATTGTCTACGAAGTATATTGCACATTTCCCTTGTTTTTGGTACAAGGACTAAATTGAATAGTACAGTAAGAGAAGAGTGTATCAGTACATCATATTCCCAATACATCACTGTACACTGTTCAGCGTACATGGTACACAGAATACTCAATGAATGCCCGAAAAGATAAATAAAAGCGTATTAAAGAAAGATTTAAAATATAATCCACTGGTAAAAAAAGGCGTAATTAGGCATTTGTGAGGGGGAGGTGGTAACCAGCTCCTCTTCGGCCAGTTTGTGAATGGGGGGTGCAGCCAGTGCCCCCTTCTAGTTACGCCTTTAACTGGTGAACTATTATTTAGTATTTAGTGATGGTAGAAGTTAGCGTAGAACCCAAAAGGACCGAAAGGACCGTCGTGATGGCTGAAGGGACCAACCAGATCGTGCCCGTATGCTGCTCCATGGTGGTAAGAGTTTAGATGGGGGCCGAACCCCACCCCTCCGTATCCATGGTGCCCGTATCCTAGGGTTAAACATTGTTAGTATATTCTGGGGTTAAACATTTAAAAAAAAACACAATTTTAAAAAACAATCAAAATTTTAACAAAAAGGAGCTGAGTTTTTTCCCCCAAATTAAATTCTATTTAATTCCTCTAACATTGTTTAAAATATTTAAGGTCTACAACATTGTTGGGTTGGAAAGATATGGAGATTAGAAAATCAAAGTTTTTAGCAAAGACTTCATTTCTTTCAATAGACAATTTTTACATGCATTAAATAAAGTAGGAGGAGAGGGGCTGTAAATGGATAAGTAGGGGGGATTAAAAGTGCAGAAGGGAACCAGGGGGTGGGGTGGGAAGCTTCATCTAAATGTGATGAGGTTGGCGGGGAGGGGAGGGGGGGGTCAACAGTGTAAGACTAAGCCTGATTGTAAGTAAGCCTGCCAAATCCTGCCGTCAAGATTGATGATCTGCACCACCATCATGAAGCTCTACAAACTCTTTCCAACCGATATTCGTCTATAGTTTCTTTATTAATTTCTATACCAGCCAATTTAAGCCCCACTCGGGAAAATATTTCATAACCTTTTGTTTTTTTATAAATAAAGATTAGAAATACCGTTAGATCTCTTTTATTTTATCATATTGACTTTTAAAGTCAACAATTCTTCCCCCTATTAGCTAAATCCTATAACGCCCCTACTCTTATTATCTAAACTTCTTAATTTTGAATTAAAATTAAGGATTTACCTCGACAAAGTAAAAAGTGAACATTACAAAGGTTTTTCTTTGCATCAAGTCATCTTTTTTCTACACTTCAAACTTATTCACTTATTTTAAAAGACTTATTTGAAAAAGATTACTTATTTTTGACTGTGTTTTCAGAATGTTAAGGTGTTAAAGCTATTTAATTTTATTACCTTACTATATTTATTAACGGAAAAAGAACTAATAGCTTTTTAAATACACATTTATATCTGTAATAGCATGAACGGTAGAAAACAATAATGTGTTTTTGCGTTTTCATTCTCATACTAAACAAGTAGTTTTAGTTTTAGAGCAGTATTAACAAGAATTAATACAGACATGAGCAACAATTATAAACTGAAGGGGTTGGAGAACTTTTACATTTTTATTATTAAAAAATATATATTTATACGGTTCACAAACGACCATAAAATAAACGACTCAGGGTCCAACGACATATGAGCAAATTGGCAATTTATGGACCAAGCGCTGAGGCTATGACAGGCAAGTTGGCTGAGCGCCGACGGGTTTAAATCCAAAATTTTATATTTAAAAAAAAATCTTACCATGAGCATGATGGTCTACATAACCGCCGTGCCCGTACCCGTGTCCGTAGCCTCCATATCCTCCATAGCCGTCATCTACGGTGTGGTGACCGTAGCTGTGTTCGTACCCACCGACATGACCGCCGTATGGTGCCGCCTGGTAGCCGTACGCCCGACCGTACGCATAGTGGAGGCTTGAATCGCTGGGGGCGAGGTCATCCTCTGGTTTTGGGTCAGCTAGGGGGAGGCCGAGGACCGAGGTTAATGTTATGGTGCAGAGTGCTAGGGGGAGAATTGGGAACCGGGTCATGGCTGGCCTGGACAAAAAAATGTATAGTTTTTTTTTCGAAAAAAATCTGAAAATTCTAAATCTAAACATAAAATATTAATTGTCTAAATGTCTGATAAATTAAGGTTATTTTTCAGATAAAGGATATATTTAATTTAGGACCCAGTCCCTTAACAGCTGTTCATATAAATAAAACTAATCATGATTAAGCAATTAACATTTATGTCTACTTGCACGTCTTCACTGTAAATTTAAATAGCATCAAAATGTCAAATTCCTATATATTTGCAACCTGATGGTGGTAACCTTTGATATTACTAACTTAAACTTTTTAATCTAAAAAATTGTTTGAAATATCTAAGGTCTACGACATTGGGATACAAATGGATTATAAAATTATAAAAGTTTGCGACAAAGACTCAATTCAAGAAAAATTTTAGAGTGCAATTTTATGAAAATGATCTTTCAATAACAGGTTTTGGTCTTCTTAAAGGGACTGTCAACACAATTTCAAGTGAACCTTTATTTAAAAGAGTCACAAGATTTTAGCATCTTTAAATTATATAGTCACATATAATAACATTTTATCTAAGCTCAATATTATTTTGTTGGCTTTCAATAAAATGAATTTTTGCATGTTCTAAAAATATTGAAATGTGGAAGCAAGACTGCATGAAAACCAATTTAACTGGCTGTAACTGCGGTTAACCAACTACAATTAAAAAGCAGTGATACACAAACTGTACTATTAATTATTCTTATGTCGGTAATTCATAATTATGGAGATTATATTAAAAAATTTGCAAACATTTATGTTTTATGGTGTATTGTATTAAGGTTTTTTACTAAATATCAGGAACTTTATTATTATTTCTTGGTTAGACTTATTTCAACATAAGACGCACTTCTGACGCATTTATGATATGAAGCAATTATGAAGATGCAATAATAATGAAGACAAGGGTACACATTGGGGACGAACACTAAGGACGCATAAAAGGACGCAAATTTTGAATGTTCATTTGGGACTCACATTGGGAATGTACACTCACTTTGGGAATGTACATTGGGGACGCAAACTAAGGACGCACATTGGAAATGTACACTGAGGACGCATACTAAGGACGCACTTTGGGAATGAAAATGGGGGATGCAAACTAAGGACGCACATTGGTAATGTACTTTGGGGACGCACACTAAGGACGCATAAAAGGACGCACATTGTGAATGTACATTGGGGACGCAAATTGGGAAAGTACACTAAGGACGCATACTAAGGGCGCACTTTGGGAATGAAAATGGGGGATGCAAACAAGGACGCTCATTGTGCAATAAGGACAATCATTGAGGATCACATTGGCGACGCACAGCCAGGACGCATTTTAGAGACACACTATTTGATCGCTATTTTTTTTTAAGTTCAAACACATTAAAATCCAAATTTTTCGTATCTTTTAACGTATGGCAATAGTAAAGAAAAGTCAAGAAAGGGTTGAGAAAGATGGGTGCAATTGGCGAACTGAATTGTTGCCAGCTTTTTACTTTACTTTTTTACAGTCAAGTGTCCAAACTTCCGGTCCCTAATCTAGTTCGAAGTATACTTAACCTTGTGTTTCCTTTAATAGGTCTGGTTTATTATATCCCCCGTAAAATAGGCAAATTAAGGGGTTTAAACGAACTAAAGAGACCTTCATTATGTGCAGTTAACAACACTACTCTTGAAACTTTAATGTGATCAATAATGCGAACGATATCTTCGTTTTCTTGGCTTTAAAAGTGTTTCTGAAGTAAGAAATGCGCAAGTTGGTTTTTAGAGAAACCACAAATAAAATTGAACAGAAACAGCTATATTTTAACAAAATTGAACAAAAACAGCTATATTTTAATAAAATTGAACAGAAACAGCTATATTTTAATAAAATTGAACATAAACAGCTATATTTTAATAAAATTGAACAGAAACAGCTATATTTTAATAAAATTGAACAAAAACAGCTATATTTTAATAAAATTGAACAGAAACAGCTATATTTTAATAAAATTGAACAGAAACAGCTATATTTTACATATTTTATGTTTTAAGTCTAGAATGTTTGTCACATGAACGTACGTCCTTTCAAAAGTACGCTATTAAATGTGCCCCCCCCCCCCTCCTGGGATGCTCAGGGGGGCAGATGACTACTGCCCCCGGCCCCCCCCCCTGTACACTCGCCTGTGTCCTATCTCTTTTGTTAAAATATTTTTACTATTTGTAATTGTATATTTATCTATTATTGAATATTTGTCTAGTCCAAACACAAACCATCAAATTATTCAGAAATAATCTTAAACATGATGTCTTGAGGGGAACGTATTTCCCAGTCGCCTTCTGGTTAAAGTGTGACAATAAGGATTCACAACTGTACCCTTCAGACTTTATTCAGTGATAAAAACATATAGTTAGTGGAAGGTTGAACCGAACCAGATTAGAAATAAACGATGGAGACAACTTTTTCAGTAAATATATTTCGACATTTCTTTGATGTCCTCATCAGTACTATAGGTTGGGGAGACACTGGTCAATAGACATATTTTTCGGTGTTTAAAAACTGAATGATTCATCGAAGAGTTTAAAAGAAATAAATACATTTGGGGGGGGGGGGGTTGAAGAGATAATTTCTTCTTTTTTTTAAAAGAAAAAATTCCGAACATTTTTTTAAACTTCTTTAAACTTCTTACGACATTGGATTGCAAAGATATATGAATAAAAAAATCAAAGTTTCTGCACAAATAATAATAATAAAAAAATAATGATTTAACAGTCGTCTTCCTATTCTACAATTTTATGAGTTTCACTATATATCTCTGTGTGAATATTGTATACCTTTATATACGCCTGTCCTTGTGTATACGCTTGGACTGGAGATATCAACTCACGGAGCTCTTTATATAGATTCACACGCGCCTATACCCCTCCCTCCCCACATATACTACCTTATCTATTCTCTAACGATGCTTTAACATTCACCCCGTAAAATCCCACTTTACACCCAATTATTATTCAAGCCAAAGAAAATGAGCGAAAGAAACTGAACACTGAATCTATTTTAGCAAATTTAAAACTTGACGATTTGATCATTTTTATAATGTAAAATCAGAAAAGTCTAAAACACCAGATTGCAAAGATATATGTATTAGAAAATAAAAGTTTGAGCTAAGTAATCAATAAAATTTTGTCAAAATTTCTCAAATAAAGGTTGGAAAGTAAATGTATTTACTGAACTGATATGTCCTGAAACTACATAGTAAATTGTGATACTGTTTATTTACTGAACTGATATGTCCTGAAACTACATAGTAAATTGTGATACTGTTTATTTACTGAACTGATATGTCCTGAAACTACATAGTAAATTGGGATAATGTTTATTTACTGAACTGATATGTCCTGAAACTACATAATTAATTGTGATACTGTTTATTTACTGAACTGATATGTCCTGAAACTACATAGTAAATTGTGATACTGTATATTTACTGAACTGATATGTCCTGAAACTACATAATTAATTGTGATACTGTTTATTTACTGAACTGATATGTCCTGAAACTACATAATTAATAGTGATACTGTTTATTTACTGAACTGATATGTCCTGAAACTACATAACTAATTGTGATATGTTTATTTACTGAACTGATATGTTCTGAAACTACATAATTAATAGTGATACTGTTTATTTACTGAACTGATATGTTCTGAAACTACATAGTAAATTGTGATACTGTTTATTTACTGAACTGATATGTCCTGAAACTACATAGTAAATTGTGATACTGTCTATTTACTGAACTGATATGTCCTGAAACTACATAATTAATTGTGATACTGTTTATTTACTGAACTGATATGTTCTGAAACTACATAATTAATTGTGATACGCGTTATTCACTGAACTGATATGTCCTAAAACTACATTGTAAATTGTGGTACTGTTTATTTACTGAACTGATATGTCCTGAAACTACATAATTAATTGTGATATGTTTATTTACTGAACTGATATGTTCTGAAACTACATAATGAATTATGATACTGTTTATGAATTATGATACTGTTTATTTACTGAACTGATATGTCCTAAAACTACATAGTAAATTGTGGTACTGTTTATTTACTGAACTGATATGTCCTAAAACTACAAAATGAATTATGATAATGTTTATTTACTGAACTGATATGTCCTGAAACTACATAATGAATTGTGATACTGTTTATTTACTGAACTGATATGTCCTGAAACTACATAGTAAATTGTGATACTGTGTATTTACTGAACTGATATGTTCTGAAACTACATAGTAAATTGTGATACGTTTTATTTACTGAACTGATATGTCCAGAAACTACAAAGTAAATTGTGATACGTTTTATTTACTGAACTGATATGTCCTGAAACTACATAGTAAATTGTGATACTTTTTATTTACTGAACTGATATGTCCTGAAACTACATAGTAAATTGTGATACGTTTTATTTACTGAACTGATATGTCCTGAAACTACATAGTAAATTGTGATACTGTTTCTTTACTAAACTGATATGTCCTGAAACTACATAGTAAATTGTGATAATGTTTATTTACTGAACTGATATGTCCTGAAATTACATAGTAAATTGTGATACATTTTATTTACTGAACTGATATGTCCTGAAACTACATAGTAAATTGTGATACTGTTAATTTACTGAACTGATATGTCCAGAAACTACATAGTAAATTGTGATACTGTGTATTTACTGAACTGATATGTCCTAAAACTACATAGTAAATTGTGGTACTGTTTATTTACTGAACTGATATGTCCTAAAACTACATAATGAATTATGATAATGTTTATTTACTGAACTGATATGTCCTGAAACTACATAATGAATTGTGATACTGTTTATTTACTGAACTGATATGTCCTGAAACTACATAGTAAATTGTGATACGTTTTATTTACTAACTGATCTGAAACTACATAGTAAATTGTGATACGTTTTATTTACTAACTGATATGTCCTGAAATTACATAGTAAATTGTGATATGTTTTATTTACTGAACTGATATGTCCTGAAACTACATAGTAAATTGTGATACTGTTCATTTACTGAACTGATATGTCCTGAAATTACATAGTAAATTGTGATATGTTTTATTTACTGAGCTGATATGTCCTGAAACTACATAGTACATTGTGATACTGTGTATTTACTGAACTGATATGTCCTGAAACTACATAGTAAATTGTGATACTGTGTATTTACTGAACTGATATGTTCTGAAAATACATAGTAAATTGTGATACTGTGTATTTACTGAACTGATATGTATTGAAACTACATAATTAATTGTGATACGTTTTTTTACTGAACTGATATGTCCTGAAACTGCATAGTAAATTGTGATACGTTTTATTTACTGAACTGATATGTTCTGAAACTACATAGTAACTTGTGATACTGTTTATTTACTGAACTGATATGTCCTAAAACTACATAGTAAATTGTGATACTGTTTATTTACTGAACTGATATGTTCTGAAACTACATAGTAAATTGTGATACTGTTTATTTACTGAACTGATATGTTCTGAAACTGCATAATTAATTGTGATACTGTTTATTTACTGAACTGATATCTCCTGAAACTACATAGTAAATTGTGATACTGTTTATTTACTGAACTGATATATTCTGAAACTGCATAATTAATTGTGATACTGTTTATTTACTGAACTGATATGTCCTGAAACTACATAGTAAATTGTGATACTTTTTATTTACTGAACTGATATGTCCTGAAACTGCATAGTAACTTGTGATACTGTTTATTTACTGAACTGATATGTCCTAAAACTACATAGTAACTTGTGATACTGTTTATTTACTGAACTGATATGTCCTAAAACTACATAGTAAATTGTGATACTGTGTATTTACTGAACTGATATGTTCTGAAACTACATAGTAAATTGTGATACTGTTTATTTACTGAACTGATATGTCCTGAAACTACATAATGAATTATGATACTGTTTATTTACTGAACTGATATGTTCTGAAACTGCATAGTAAATTGTGATACGTTTTATCTACTGAACTGATATGTCCTGAAACTACATAGTAAATTGTGATACTGTTAATTTACTGAACTGATATGTTTTGAATCTGCATAGTAAATTGTGATACTGTTTATTTACTGAACTGATATGTCCTAAAACTACATATACTGTTTATTTACTGAACTGATATGTCCTGAAACTACATAATGAATTGTGATACTGTTTATTTACTGAACTGATATGTCCTAAAACTACATAATGAATTATGATAATGTTTATTTACTGAACTGATATGTTCTGAAACTACATAATAAATTGTGATACTGTTTATTTACTGAACTGATATGTCCTGAAACTACATAATGAATTGTGATACTGTGTATTTACTGAACTGATATGTCCTGAAACTACATAGTAAATTGTGATACTGTCTATTTACTGAACTGATATGTCCTGAAACTACATAATTAATTGTGATACTGTTTATTTACTGAACTGATATGTTCTGAAACTACATAATTAATAGTGATACTGTTTATTTACTGAACTGATATGTTCTGAAACTACATAGTAAATTATGATACTGTTTATTTACTGAACTGATATGTCCTAAAACTACATAGTAACTTGTGGTACTGTTTATTTACTGAACTGATATGTTCTGAAACTGCATAGTAACTTGTGATACTGTTTATATCACTCTGCCATCAAACCTACCTACGTTAATGTTTAATCTACATATTAATATATATATATATATATTAAAAATCCTGACATTTACTGAGAATGTGCCTGACTGTTATGCACCTTAACTGTTGTTTTATTGGAATAAAACGTAAAAAATGTATTTTCTTATTTCTTGTTTATTAGACTTTACATACCGGGTTACCCACAAAGATGAGACTTCAGAAACAATTGTATACGGAATTTATGCATGTCTGTTTTCTTATTTTTAAATTTCATTATTCAAAAAGTTCAGTGGGAAAAATTGACAAAGGAATTGAGTTTTTGGTCACAAACTCTGATTTTCTAATTCCTATACCTTTTCAACCCGTTTTCCTAAACCTTTGATATTTCAAACTATTAATTCTGTTAGATCAAATAGTCTAAGTTTGAAATATCAAAGGTTTACATCAGAAGGTTGCAAAGATATAGGGGTAGGAAAATGCGAGTTTGTGGCAAAAACTCAATTACTTTATTCTTAAGTCAGTATTGACAAAATAATTAATTTTGACCTTAAAACTGACGGCTTTACGGTCAAAAAGGTCAATGTTAACCTCAGGCATCACATTTTCGAACGATGAAGATATGAGTTCACTGAGGGCGTTTTCCCCTTCTTTAAATTTCACTCAAAGGGGTTCATTCATAAAACATTCTGTTTCCTTTTGGCCTTATAATAGTAGCTAGGAAACCCAGCGTTTCCCTGGTTACTCATAGTTACTCCTGCTGTTTACCCGCTCTTGGTCGTAAATTACGATTTTAGCTATTTTTCCCTGTAAAAGCCAACCCACTCTACTTAGAAACTTAAAACCAAGCTAGGAACATTTTCGTGGCTCTCCCGATGGAGTTCCCCAAAGTTTGAGGTAAATCGGTTCAGGGGTTCCTGAGTTATGATCGGAGAACAAACAGACAAACAGACAAACAGAATAAAACAAGCATGTGTTTTAAAATTTTACGGTTTGTGTGCAATGTAAACATAAATTGAATTTTGAGGCTGATTTTTTATGCCAAAAAATAAAAAGAGTAAAAAATAACATCTTTTTTGCCTATTTTACTAATTTACTATTTTACTATTTTACTATTTTACTATTTTACTATTTTACTATTTTACTGTTGTACTATTTTACTATTTTACTATTCTACTCTTTTACTATTTTATTATTTAACTATTTTACTATTTTACTATTTTACTATTTTATTTTTTACTATTTTACTATTTTGGTATTTTACTATTTTACTATTTAACTATTTAACTATTTTACTATTTTACTATTTTACTATTTTACTATTTTACTTTTTTACTGTTTTACTATTTTATTATTTTATTATTTTACTATTTTACTATTTTACTATTTTAATATTTTACTATTTTACTATTTTACTATTTTACTTTTTTACTATTTTACTAATTAAATTGAAAGTGATGAATATTTAGCTGTTATTTTCGCACTTGTTGTTATTACCTAATCTATCAAACTTATAAAAAAGTGGATCAATAAACATATCAGGACTGAAAACCAACTCTTAATTAAAAATATTTAAATATTTAGATGATTTTCGGATTTTAAAAAATGCTGTCATAATTTGCCTTGCTGGGTTAAAACAAAGTTTTTGATTTAAAAATTGAATTGCGGCTAAAAACAATTTATTTCTAGCAGCAGCGAAAAAGTGAAAGAAAGAAGAAAATTACAATACTTCTGAAAACGACGATATCTTCCTCATTGTTAATCTGATGTTAGGTTCAATCTGATAATGGCGTCTATTGTTCTAAAGAAGTTTATAAATAAAAATATTTATTTAATAAAATTCCATGTTATGATAGTAAATAAATGGTATAAAAAGCGGTCGTTAATCGTTTTTAAAAACGATCGTTTTTTGTTAGAGGAAAAAAACGATCGCTTTTAAAACCAATTAACGACCATTTTTTATACGATTGTTTTTTAAAAAACAGAAAATTGTCATAGTTAAATATGTTAACGATCGTTAACGAAAGGGTTGTCGTTTCTAAAAAACAAACTTTTAAAAAAACGATCGTTTTTCGTCTTAGTTTTCAGAACGAAACGATTGTTTAAAAAAAATGAAAACGTTAACGTCCCTACACATGTGAGTAGCTTGATTTGGTTTTAATTACCCAGTTTGACAGATAGATAGATACTGCTATCTAGATGTATATGAGCCCCCTGGAGTGATTAAATGATATGTATATGAGCCCCCTGGATCGAACTCGTGAATATTTCATGTCGGAACTCTTCTAGTTTAACCATTATTCAGGATTTTGAAAATACATTGACATAATCTCTTCATCAAGGGACCCAGGGCGTATTCAAAATTTGTCCAAGGGGGGGCTTAATTTTTTTTTGTCTTTCCAGTTGGGGGTCTCAGCACCCGTTGGGGCCTGAAAACCCCCTGAAATCAATAGATTTCACTGGTCCAGAGGGGGGCTTAGCCTCCATAGCCCCCCCTGAATATGCCCTTGCAAGGAACTTGTCAATGTTTTTAAATGTAAAAAAAAAACATCTATAAAATATGAGAGACCATTTTCTCTTTGTAGATTAAAAAACAAAAAGATTTGGCAGATTAAAAAAAATATTTGCCCATTTTTACCAAAATTCAAAAATATTTAAGTTGAAATTTTTGTAATTTTGAGTATCCATAAACCTTCCCTGGGGTCATGTGGGGTCCCACACAAAATTTGGTCCCAATCAGTTCAGATGTTTTGACGTTTATTGACAGTCAAGCAAAGTATTTTTTATAGATAAAAGTACTTAATGGAAAACGTTTCCGAATATATTCCATTTCATTTTGGAAATCGCAGTATTTAGAGAAATAATAAGGTTTATGGTATTAGTTCACCCCCTACTAGCTGGGGGGGGGGGGTCAAAAGTCAAAGGAAAAGAAATAAAAGCTTTTATAAAATGTAATTGTTTTCATAGAAATTTGCATACAGATGGGTTAGAAGCAATAGAAGGTTTGCTGCGGTAGATATTCTGTTAATCAAATTGTAAGGAACTAGAAAAACAGACCACATTTTGAAATTAAGTTTAAGTGAATTCCTACAATAACCTTATCCATGAAACAATAATATTATGATAAATTTTTTTATAAATATTTTGATTTGACTTGTTTCCCTGCACAGCTCAAAAACCCTGAGGCTGCTCAAAAGATCAAATCTTTTTCTTAAAATTATTCGTAAATACTGAACTGACTTTTGTATTATTAGCTATTTATTTATTAAAAACTAGCTACAGTGTAACAAAAAGTGGGCGAACATGATATTCTGTGAAATTGCAGTACGTTGTACATTGCTAATAATTAAATGTTGTAAACTTGTATAAGAACAAAATGCATTGAAACTGCGTTTCTATGGAATATTTAGTTTGATTAGCTTGAATCATACAACATTATTGAATTACGCGATATAGATATTTATATTACGTGAAATACATTTTTTAGAATCTTGTAAAATATGTAATACGATGGTATTTATCATGTAGGAATTGAATTACTTCAATTCAATACCTGTTAACTTTATAACCTAGGCTATTTGAATTAAGTTATCCAAAGCACAATAGGCTTGAAACAAAGCTTGGGACCTCGATGAATTATACGAGGAGAGATCTTGCCTTGATAATTGGCAAATGAATCAAATATAGCTTTAAAGAAAGCTTAGGACCTTGTTGAATTATACGAGTAGAGATCTTGCCTTGATAATTGGCAAATGAATCAAATATAGCTTTACAGAAAGCTTAGGACCTTGTTGAATTATACAAGTAGAGATCTTGCCTTGATAATTGGCAAATGAATCAAATATATCTTTAAAGAAAGCTTGGGACCTTGTTGAATTATACAAGCAAAGATCTTGAATTGATAACTGGCAAATGAGTTGAATAGAGCTTGAATGATAGCTCGGAACTTCCTTGAATTATATGATTAGAGATGTGGACTGTGTATCCTTTAGAATCAGAGAATTAGTCCTGGTTGATCTTGGTAATTAGTAGACCTGGATAGATATGTCTCTAGCAAATTGTTATGGAGTAGGTATTTGGTACAAAACTGGTGGCAAGGGTGTGAATCGGAGCAAAGAACCCCAAGTAAATAATAGAAGATTCCAAGGAACAATGAAAAAACTAGTTGTTTATAGTGTACTAGAGTGTAAGGAAGGACAGGTATAAATTGTACCCTAAAGAACACAGTGCAGTACCAGACATCAGAAAACATAACATGAAGAATACTAGAAAGTGTTAGGAAACCATCAATGCAAGGAATTGGAAGCCATGAGGCAGAGTACAGAACAAGAACTTCAAATCAAGGGGACGGAAGCCCTGAAGCAGAGAAGGGGACAAGAGTTAATAATGTTAGAAGAGACTAAAAGTGAAAACAATGTTGGAGCAGACTATAAAGATGGATGAAACCCAAGAAGGCATGGATCATCTAAAGGAAATGATTGAAGCTGGGAGAACAAACCTGAATAAGTTTGCTTTGAAAGAGCTAAGCAAATATGAGGCTGATCCTGATAAAGCTAGGAAAGTAGACCTGAATAAAGCCTTTCACAAAGAACTACAAAATGAGTTAAGCAAATTTGAGGACAAAATTGAAGAGAGAATACAGAGAATTGTCAAGAATGCTTCAAAATATGATGGAAACATGGAAAAAATGTTTAAATGGTGAAAGAATTTGGTAACCCATTAAATTCACTACATATGGGAAATACTCCCATGAAATGGATGCTGTATTGGTGCATCTCAGGATCAGCCAGAAAAAAGTAAGTGCTGTATGCTGAATACAAGGGATTCGAACAGGGTTCTGCTAACTACCTGGGTTCGAACAGGATATTGCAGGATTCATGGCTGCATGGCCCCCCCCCCCCCCTCACTGTGGATCTATAAATATTCCATCCCCCTGTCTCTCTCTCATTGAACTATAGATAATTAAAACGTGGCATTCCGGAAAATTCTAGACCACGACCCAATCCCCTGAAAGTCTCTGTCCAGGAAATGCCTTGAGTGTTAGCACTTCCAGTGGGACCAGTACCTCTCATAGAGCCTGGATTAGTTTCTAAACATAGTTTGACAGGTTGGAAGAATCAGGAAAGATCTTTCTAAATATTTCAAGTGCCTCTCTAACAGGATGCTTTAGGATTATTCCATGTTGTTGGTGCATTCAGCTGAAGTTTTACTTCCTTTGCTTCTAAATACTTCTTTAATTCTTCCTGAAGGAAAAGATTCCTTCTATCATACTAACTAAAAAATCTGCTAACTTCTCTTGTAATTCCCACAGAACCGGCTAAATCTTCCATCATATCAAAGGTTTCATCCTCTGGAGCAGCAGAAATCATATATCTCCCATCAAAGTTGGGATTTCCTAGATCATCCCAATTTTCTTGAATATAATATCTGTCGCTGTTAGATGTATACAATTTCCTAGGCATAATTGTTGGTAAAACTCATAGGTCTTAAATCACTCCTTTCACAGCTTGACAATTGTTGAACAACCATCGCATGAAATACCCACTAACTGTTTTAATTCCAACTCTAACTCAGCAATCATATTTGACAAGCTTACAGCACATGATCTAATTCTAGATCTGGGACCATTATTCAATGAACTCAGATCAGGAAATAGATAAAGATAATTAGCAATTATTATAAAGAATGTGTTCAAGACAATTAATATTCCTTGAGATTGTTTCTGCTGAATGAAGATTGTGTTTGTGGTAGTGGGGGTCGATATAGTTAACAAACTTTTCCATTAATCAGGGGGGGGGGGGCAGCTTGTCTAAGGAGGGGTATTGAAACCTTTTAAAGAATTAACTAAAACTATTCTTTTATGTTAATTTCATGAGATTTTTCACGTAAGTTTACAGAGTTATCATGAGCTCATGACAAACCTGTGATTTTATTCTAGCGTAAGAGTATTCCCTTGTTAATTGAACTTTCTAATGGTCTATTAATAGGTTTAATTTACATATATTTTTAATTTCATACAGTTGAACAGTGTAGTGCATATCAACACAATTGTAAACACCAAATGCATTGTTTTATCCATTCTCATTATTTTTTTCCTGTAATTTGATTAAAAATTTGCATTAAAAATTATTTATGTTTAGAAGAATCAATAATGGTTTGAAAATTAGCAATGGAAGACAACATTTGTGAGGAAATAACTTTTTTTTGCGTTGTTTAAGTACTCTTCAGGGTATTCCATGCAAGTCATGTTACACCTGTGATGTTATTGTAGCATTTCAATAAACACATACATTAGGTAACTTTTCTATACTCAATGTGACATGTTAACACAATATTTCAGTTTAAGCAAAACATAAAAAAGGGTTGATTTCAATAACTAACATAGTTTTTTGACATTTATTTAATTTGATCAAATAAATCAAAATGGTCTTAGTCAAGAATGGATTGCCACTTTACTTAAAGCCTTATATGTTCAGTCCTCCTCATGTGTCCATCAGAAACCAGATTTCACTTTTAAGTCCTCTCTTAGTGACCATGATTATTGGACACCCTGTACCTCCTATACATATACTTTGCTTGTCTGCTTGTGTGTATCAAAGAAGTGTCAAAACGGCTGAACAGATTGCACACAATTTTTGTGTGGACCTCATATGACCCAGAAGATTTTCATAACATTTGAATATCCACAAAAAAAAACCTATTTTAAATGCGTAAATTTTTTTATGCTTATAATGCTCACAGATACAGCAACATATAACATAATGCTCATAATTTACTAATTAAAACAATGAAAGGTTGAATAATTCTTGGAATTTACATCATCTTTGTAGTTATAGTTACAACTCAGTCTTCAGAAAGGCCAACCAAAATATTCCTGTGGTTTACAATAAAGCATTACATTTAAAAATAAAATTTTATTTTTTACATTTAGATCCTCTCTATGAACATATTTCTTTCTTCGATGTAGGTGTAGGGTTCTCATTATTAGCCTTCTTCCCTGAATACACAATCATCAATCATCAGCCATCGTCCATCAACTCTATTTAATTCATTTTAATTCATTAAATCTATCCAGTCCATCATCCATCATCCATCATCCATCATCCATTATCCATTATCCATCATCCATCATTCATCAACATTCATTCATCCTCCATCATCCATCATCCATCATCCATTATCTATAATCCATCATTGATCATTGATCATTAATCATCAATCATCCATCATCCATTCTCCATCATCCACCATCCATTATCCATCATTCATCATCCATAATTAATGATTCATAATCTTTCATTTATCATCCATCATCTTTCATACATCATTCATCATCCATCAATCATCATCTTTCATTCATCATCCATCATCCATCATTAATCATCCATCATTCATCATTCATCATTCATCATTCATCATTCATCATCTGTCATTCATCATGAATCATCCAGGCTCAGTAACATTTTGCCTGGTACAAGTTCGCCTAGTACACTTTTGCCCAGTACACTTTCGCCTAGTTCAAGTTCGCCTAGATAACATTTTGCCTAGACAACATTTTGCCTAGATAACATTTTGCCTAGATAACATTTTGCCTAGATAACGTTTTGCCTAGATAACATTAGAGAGTAATTTTCGCCTAGATTAACATTCTTCAAATTAACCAGCTTTTGGAACAAAAAATACGCAATTTTTACTGTAAAAATTTCACAATTTTTTTTTTGTAGTTTAAATCATTCAGTTTTCTACTGACATTGATGTTGATATGACGTCCTTAATTCAGGCAGGGAAAACCAAACGGGGTAGACCAGCCATAATTGATAATCAACATTTCTCATATGTCTCCAATGGACCTGGTAGTCAGAAAGTTTATAATTGGCGCTGTTCAAACAGAAAATGTGATGCCACCTTAGGAACAAGGAAATCGAGTGGAAACCTGGTTGGGGATACTCTGCTAAGTCACCAACATGGAAATCAGCTGATGAAAAAGACTGCAAAGAAAACTGAATCAGCAGTCTTGCTTAAGTACGCAGGGGTTCAGGGAGCTACTCCATCTACAGTTCTCCAGGAAATTAGCTACAACATGCTTTCATCAAACTTTCCTGGACAATTGAGTAGTTCATCTACTGCTGGTGCCATCAGGATGAAGTTGTGGCGCCAGAGACAAGTTATCAGTCCAAGACCTAGGCTCCCTTCTACATTTGAGGAGTACATGGACACTGACATTCCTGACAAGTTTACCAAGGCAGCTGATGGGGTTGAATTTCTGATTTACAAAGATTGGATTGATGTGGAATGTACACAACCTATGGCAATATTTATGAGCAAATGGGCAGTTGAGATTCTTAAAACACACAAGACTTGGCTATTTGATGGGACCTTTAAGTCTGCCCCAGTACCCTTTTCTCAGGTATACTTTTAGATCTAAATATTGTTTTTTAACATTTTTTTACACTGATACACATATATAGATAATAATTCTTAGGTATATATTGGTATGGCAGCATCTGAGGTAGGAGGAAAGGGTATACCTTGTGTCTTTGGTCTCCTTCCTAACAAGAAAAAAGAAACCTATGACATATTCTTCAACAAGATAAAGGAGCATGTTGGGGAGCAAAACTGTCCTAAAACAATCATCTCAGATTTTGAGCAGGCTGTGTTCTCTATATGTGCTAAAGTGTTTCCAACCGTGAGCCACAAAGGTTGCAGATTTCATCACAACGCTGCAGTTTGGAAGAACCTGGGAGATCATCATCTTCAGGAACTGTTTAATCAGAATCCCAGGTTCCAGGAACTAATCTAACTGATGTATACACTCTGCTACGTACCTGTGGATGTATACACTCTGCTACGTACCTGTGGATCAGGTGAAAAGCTATTATGATGCAGTGATCATTCCCCAGGTTCAAGAAGGAGTTGATCATGATCAAGAATGGGAGGATTATGATGAGGAGATTGATCATTTTGGGTACTACTATTCACAGACTTGGATTGAAAAACGGGGTGGGAGGAGAGCATTGTTTCCGCCATGTCTTTGGAACCAGTACAGCACAGTTCTAGAGGATGGAATAGAAACAAACAATATGCTGGAATCCTTTAATCATACCTGGAATTTATTGTCTGGGTACAGTCCAAATGTTTGGCACATTCAGGACCAGTTTGTCAAACAAGATGCTGATGCAAGACGAGCATTTGTTTCTAATTCAGTTGGCCAGGATATGGCTGATAATACAGGCAGAAAGCAGAGAGCCAAGGATGCAAAACAGAGGGTTAAACTGGTTGTGGAAGCTTTTGCTACAATACCTAAAACTGATTATCTGAAAATGCTGGCTCATGATCTCCAGCGAGCTAGTGCCCTTTAAGAAATAATAATAATAATAATAATAATAATAATAGTGCCCTTTAAGAAAAAATTTGTAAACATTATTATAATACATTTTTTTGCTTTTAATTGAATTTCTTGATAAAAAAGAGGAACTTTATAAATTTTAGTGATTTTGTCTAGTCGAAAATTACCTTCTAATGTTATCTAGGCAAAATGTTGCCTAGGCGAAATGTTGTCTAGGCAAACTGTGTTTAGGCAAAATGTTATCTAGGCAAAAAGTTAGTAGGCGAACATGTACTAGGCAAAAGTGTACTAGGTGAACTTGTACTAGGCAAAATGTTACTGAGCCATCATCCATCATCTGTCTTATTCTGTACTTCTCCCCCTAATAAGAAATTAAAGATTAGAAATGTTGATAATAGAAAGATTAAGGATGGAAAAAATGCTGTCTGATAAAGTATGAATTAGATAACATTGTTTTTAGAAATCATTCTCTAGGATATCACCATATTTTTCACCAAAAAAACTGTGAATGGGTAATTTCCTAGCAAAGTGAAGGGAATTCAAAAATCTTATACCAATACCAATCCTAGCATACAATTTTTAGACCCCCCCCCCCCCAAACACCCCTCCCTGGCCCTGAGCCTGTCCTAACCACAGAGCTCAGCCCCCAAGTCTGTTCTAGCCGCAGTGCTTGGCCCAGAAAGTGTCCTAACCTCACCCTAAACATAAACATTTAAAAAACTATCTAAAAATTGATAAAGTAATAAATACAAAACTGATAACAAGGGGGTGGGGGGGGGCAGGAGGTGTAGGTCCAGATATTGTTTACTAAGACGCACTCTAGGCCCTATAAACGATTGAAAGTTCTGAAAGTTGTTGACCATCACTAGACTAAAGACAAAATACTATAGGGTTAGAATGTAAAAAAATATATAATATAAAAGACAAAAATTTACATGCAGTTGATGAGTTTTTACTTCCGAACCATTTGTAAGTTATGCACACTGACCAAACAGCTATCATAGGTTCATCTTTGTCTTTGTTAAAATAGTCCCATATCCATGAGCTAGCCTTGCTCCTGGCCATGATTAAACTGATTACTGAATTCGTTTTAGATCCCTTTAAAAGACTTGACATGATGTTGACAGCAACATTCAGCATCAAGAAAGAAATACTCCAGATCAATACAGACTTAAAGGTGGGACTAGGAATCCTCATCCTCCAGGTCAACCATGTCAGGTTTAATTTCTGAGCAGGATCCAGCTTGCTTGTGAAGTAAAAAGGATTGTGAATATAGGTATAGGTCTAGGAGTGGCTGGGATGGTATTAACTGGGATTGTTGAAAGTTCAGAAGGTGTTGTATCTGCAGGAATGTGGGTGTCCCTAGTGGAAGGAAGCCCAGCATAGTAGGACCACTGCAGGGGTAATGTATATCTAGCTTTCAGACTTGCAACATCTAGGTCTCATGCTCGGTGCTTCTATTAGTACTCAGAGATACAAGGCGAAAGAGGGAAAACGGTAGACTAGAGAAACTTTAGCTAGAGGTGGATCTGAGGGGATACCCTGGACTCAATGGAACAGAAATATTGGATCAACAAGTAATATTAAAGGCCTGCATCAATCTTTTAATGCTGTATTAACTTGGAGAATGGAAGTTTTTTACCTAGCTGGATCCAGATTCTGCTACTGAAAGCTTTAAGTATACTCCTTAATTACAAGCCTGGGTAGCTGTTATTAAGTTTTTACCTAGCTGAATCCAGATTCTGCTACTGAAAGCTTTAAGTATACTCCTTAATTACAAGCCTGGGTAGCTGTTATTAAGTAGCCAAACTTATCTGAAAGAAGTTAATTCTTTTGATTAAATCTGGTCATCACAGACTACACTGACTGCTCATACACTTTACCTTGATAGGCTGAGCAGGCCCATAGTGATCTGGAACACCATTCTACAGTTCCATGTAATGTTTATGTTAGTTTAAAGTACTGGTCTGCAAAGCAGTGAGACTGGCTTTCTCATACCAGACCAACGCCATTTCCTTTACCTTTATTCCTATTACCTGCCTTTCTCTTGTCAGAAACAAGGAACATGGAAACATTTAAACTAAATAACTACTCCAACAGATGGATGGTAACAACAACTAAGACATTAATTATTACTTGTCAATTTATGAACAGGATAATGATTAATCCATTGGAGGGATGAAAATTACCATAAAAAAGACTAATTAATCTCCTGACGGGATGGTGATTACGGTGACATGGAATTGCCTCAACACAGAAACAACTTAACACAGAAATGGATCATAAATTATTTTTGAAGAATTTCCATTTTTTTTAGAATTTCGAGGAAATCCCTCAAAAGTTCAGAATTGTTGAAGGATTTCCAAATATTTTGTATCCGTTTCCCAATATTTAGAGTTGAATGGTTTCCTCTTTTTTTGATCAATTTCCTCATATTTGTAGGTCCGTTTCCTCATATTTTTGATCCGTTTCCGCTTTTTTCTAAAACTTTAAAAATCACATTTTGTTGATTGTTTTTGAAAAGAGCGGAAACAGATCAAAAATATGAGGAAACAGATCTATAAACATTATAGGTGACAGATCAGAGGCAGGTCCCCTGGGAACCAGGAAACAATTCAGATAACGTAATAGAAGAATTCAATCTCATCCACCTCACACAAGACATAGGAAGTTTAGAAGCCATAACCAACCTAGGAAACCTGGAAGATCTTCTAAACCTAAACCTAGAAGAAGGAACCAACTAAGAGTGAAATCAGCAAACCTCAAAGGAGCTGTAGGGGGAGAACTAAGGGAACCCAAACATAGAAGTAGATTAGGGAAAAAAGTAAAGATAAATCATCATGTATATTCTATAGATGTTAATATGAGCTTAGACTCAGGACTTAAACAAAGAAACACTCTCAAGCATACCAAAAATCTACCTGATCCTGGAAAAATATCCAACCAAACCATTGCAAACCATAATACTCCTTTTTTTGTTAACTTTGAATTTGACTATCTTTTTTTATTATCAAGAACTAATTTTTTCAGGGAAATGGAAAAGTCATTGGAAAATGATGGGGAAACTGATGGTGAAAATGTAATCTCAGATAGAAAACCTAACCATACTAATAAGCAGACAGCTCAGGTAAAAAAAACAGGTTCAGGGGGGAGAATAATAAATATTTAAAAAATGGGAACATGCACCTCTGTGAGGGAAAAGAAATATAAAAAAAAGGTGACATGGAAACGCCTCAACACGGAAACGACTCAACACGGAAACGGATCAAAAATACGCGGAAACCCCTCAAAAACCGGTTTTTTTGAGGCATTTCCGCTATTTCTTCAAATTTTTCAGAAATCCCTCTAAATTCAAATTTTGAGGAGTTTCCTCTTTTTTTTGATCGATTTCCCAGAATTGTATATCCGTTTCCCCTTTATTTTATTCAAATATTTTAGAGGGATTTCCCAATATTTTTGAGGGGATTCACAATATTTTTGGTCCGTTTCCTCATTTTTTTGATCCGGCTCCGCTTTTTTCTAAAACTTTAAAATTGATCTGTTTCCCCATATTTTGGATCGGTTTCCTCAAATTGTTGATCCGTTTCCGCTTTTTTTGATCCGTTTCCGCTTTTTTTTGAAAAAAGCGGAAACGGATCAAAAAAAAGCGGAAACGGATCAAAAATTTGAGGAAACCGATCAACAAATTGAGATTTTTAAGTTTTCGAAAAAAACGGAAACGGATCAAAAATATGAGGAAACGGACCTAAAAATATGAGGAAATTGATCAAAAAAAAGAGGAAACCATTCAACTCTAAATATTGGGAAACGGATTCAAAATATTCGGAAATCCCTCAACAATTCTGAACTTTTGAGGGATTTCCTTGAATTTCTAAAAAAAGGGAAATGCCTCAAAAATAATTTTTGATCCGTTTCCGTGTTGAGTCGTTTCCGTGTTGAGGCGTTTCCATGTCACCAAAAAAAAGAAAGGGGGAAAAAAGGGAATCCACAATATCAGATACAGGGAAAAAATCACAAAAAACTGCACTAAAAACAGTGAAAACAAAATCCCCCTGTCTAACAGAAAATGGGACAAGGGTGGGAAAAAGGGGAATTCAGCTCTTTACTTAGCAAACAGCATGACTAATAAACTAAACATTACAGGTGAGAGAGTCAAGTCCGGTCCCTTGGGCACCAGGACACAAGCCAGAAAATGCAATAGAAGAATTCATTCTTGCACAGAATATAAGAAGCTCGGAACCTCTCCCCATTTTAGAAAACATGGAAAACATACTAAACCTAATCCCGGAAGAGGGGGCCAACCAAGAACAGGATCAACACAATCCAAAAGATTTGTAGAAGAGATAATAAGTCTCTCTAAACATTAAAGAAGAAAGGAACCAAGGAAATACAGTACAGGGAACCACACTCAATCGAGCAATTCTTGCACATAGGCCTAATCAACAACCTATTCCAATACAAAGACGGCAGAATTGAAAACCTACCATTTGCCCCCCTGAAAATTCACCTGTACATCAATATCGCAGGAAACTCAATAGACAGGGAATTCATCCCATACAGCGTGCCCATATCAATACGAAACCTAACAATACCACATAAAGGACAGAATAATATTGAGGACCTAGTAAACGAAACGTTTCCCACACTAAATGGAGCTAGGGTGGCTAACTGGTGCAACAAAACCCATGTAACTGATGAGAACGGCGAAACAATTAGAGCAGGCCTGTGGTATAAGGTTATACATGGAAAAATGGCAGAATGGATCTTTCTAACTGGAAAGGTTGCCCTTAAAAACTCGCAACCCCTCAAAAATCAGATTTGTTTTGAAGAATTTCAAATGAATCTCCCTGTACACTGCACTCAATGCCAAAGATGGGGTGATCACAGAGCATATGAAGCAGGACTAACAGGATGCTCAGCTCCAG